TTTTATGTACTGTGGCTGCATGAAAGTCCACAGAGCACATGTGCGATGCTTGCAGAAGTGAGGACTCACTAGGGAATTGATTGGCCCACCCTCACTAGAGTCAGGCGTGCTGCAAAAGACCACTTGAGATACACAGAGTGATTAGCAACATAGAGTGGTTTAATTAGGATGTGATGAGTTGTATTAACTTGATGCCACTATGATTCATCATAGCAGTACTAGCTTGATTGTTAGCAGCACTTCCCATACCTCCTGATGGGCCAGGTTGAGTTGAAAGCATCAATCATGGCTGTACACAGATGTCCTCTTCTGGAGCTCTTTCTGTTAGATGGTATCACCCCCAGTCTCTGCTTTATACTATGTTTCCACAGACATTTCTCTTTATACTACTACCCTTTACGCAACTCCCGTGCTCTTTGCACTCTTTGCACACTTCTTTGCAGCTGTGGCAGCGGTGCTAGGACAGCTGTTGGAAACACCACATACTGAAGAATATCAGGAAAATGCATGCTGGATTCGAAATAACTTTTTCATGATGGAAAGTAAAATGCTAACATGTTTGTCGCTCATGTGGGAATAGTAACGGCCACATTCTCTGAGGATAATGTTATCCTGAGGCTTTGGTGCACTGAACATAGAAGCACACTGAGCGTGGGGTATGTAACTTGCTATACCTGGATGCTGACAAATTGATGAATAGGGAAATAATTTACTAGTGTAAAATACAATCCCTTACTTTTATTATGCAGCTGTTAACACAAGCAATATGAAAGCACTTAGGCATCCCAGAACTGGGTCAGGACACAGTTCCAGCTGGGAAGATATTTTGTCAACAGTAGCTTTCAGAAGTTGACTACAGAGAGTATAATTCTAGGGCAGCCGTTCTCTGATATCTCCCCTGTTATATGCTCACCTATTTTCACTACCCCTCACAGTCTTCTCTTGATGCAAATCCTTCCTAATCTGACTGCTTCCTCTTCTCTATCTCCTCCTCACCTGTGTGTCTCCTTGCTGTCGTGGTGTGCCCATCTTGTCCTCCAACTTCCCTCTGTCCCCCGCTCCTCCCGCTTGTTGAGGAGTGGAAGAGGTTGGATGTGAGAAGCTTGGGGCTCAAAGGAGTGAGAGCAGATGTGGGAAAAGCCCTTGGATAGGTGGGAAGAGATAGAAAGAAGGGGAGAGTATGGGACAAGGTAGCAAGTGGGTGAAGCATGGGATGCACAGATGCAGAAGCGAGATCTAGAGCCAGAGGGCAGGGAGAAGTGGGGATGGGAAAGGTGGAGGAATAAGCTGAGTAGGAGGCACAGGGAAAAGGACGCTGTGCGTCTTCCCCAGCAAGCAAGAGGTGGTAGTAAACATGACTTAGGCAGCCAGCAGCAAATGATGGGGGTGGCGGGTGCCTGCACCCCTCCTGGGCTGCCTGCACGACACCCCAGCCACGGGTCAGCAAACACAGCTTTGGTGAACTGTCTTGAGAAGCGCTTTTAAAACCAGGAGCTGGGAAGTCTCTTTGAATGCAATTGGCCTTTTTGCCTTTTCTTATCTCCAGAAGGGTCCCAGTCTTCTGCCTCTGCACAACCCAACCTCTGAAGTCTGCCTGGCAGTGCCTCTTGTCGGCCAGAGGATGTGTTGGCTCTCCTTTCACCCTCCTCTTCCCCAAGGCACCCCGGGCCATGGCCGCCTGCTCCCTGCGGGGCTCCCCAGGCGCTGCCGATGCAGAGGAGGGCGGCTGTTCCTTCTTGCGTGGGTTTGGTGGTGACGGATGTCTGGCCTCGTGGTGGAGGCACCAGCGGATGGATGCTGGGGTGGATGTAGCCGCTCTGGCTGCCTCACCCCTTTGGAAGGCCTTGCGGACGGGACAGAAAGCACTAGAATACTGTTACGTTATCTACTGCTTTGCTGCATTTTAAAAACATTTAAATGTTGCCAATCTCCTTTCTTCTAGAAGTTTTTAACAGTGTGGCAGCCGTGCCACATAAAGATAGCTGGTGCTAGCTTCTGTACCATAAATGACAACAATAATTCCACTGTTATCAAAGTCCCTTGGGCTTCCTCATAGATTTTTATTATGGAAGTAGTAAAGTAGTTAGGAAAGTTGTATTGCATTTGTTTTACTAGCTGTATGTTTATACTGTATTTATAATTCCTAGCTATTAGTTTATAATTCCATTAAAGAGGAAAAAGAGTGGATCAGGTTTTGGCCTGTGAAAGCTGAATCTGCTTCCTTTAAAGAAAACAGTCCGTTACCTCTAAAGAATGAGTACGATATTGTTTATTTTTCCTCTCAGAAGAAACTAAGTGTGAACAAAGAAAGACCATTTCCATTTGGTAATGCTGAACTAACTCAGCTTTACTGATTTCTAAATTCCAGTAACAGCATTACCATTGCACAAACAAAACAAATTTTATTCATTATTTTTGGTGGATATTGTTTTCAGGAATTAGTTTCATGTTAAGTTTTAGGAGTGAAAAACAAATCTGAAGCAAGTGCAAAAATGAGGTTCGTTACTCTTTAATAAAGCTCAGATATTTTCTGTATTGCCAATTTCTACCCAATTTTTTTTTCTGGTAAGAAATGCCCTGCTTATGGGAAAGGAGCCATGTAGAACAGGGATATTTGCTTGCCTTTTCAGAGCTGAAGAAGTAGACAGTGCATAGCACAGGTCCTGAAATAATGTTCCCTGTTGTGAAATTCTATAGTGTGACACTGCCAAACAAAAATATTTGGTCTAAAAAAACCACCAAAACCAAGGTCAGTGCTGAGATGAGCAGAAGTAAATTGAAGAAACATGATGTTTTGGTAATTCTCTGTTAGAATACTTTGCAAGATTTCTTGGAGAACATTGTTTGGGTTCTCCCAGTGGCAACCCAGTGCAGCCTCCGCTGAGCAGGCCAAAGACCTCACTGGTAGAAGTTTCTTTAAGAATTTTTTTAGTTATAATCCTGGGGCAAGGGAAATAGTGGCTTCCTCTCAGTGGTGACATTCAGAGCTATTCCATCACTTCCTGCCATAATTTTGGTTTTCTAATGCTTCTCACATGCATGTGCTGTTGTGGCTCTGTAACCATGCTGTAACTATAATTGTGCTGCAGAGGCTTGTGATCAATGCTCCAACTTCCTCAAAAGCTACAAATTAAGCTTTCTCATGCAGATTTGTAGTAGAGAGGATTTTTAGATTTTTCCTCTTTTTAAAGCTGGAAATCCATATGACTCAGTGGGAGTGATGTGTTTTGAAAGTGAGAGGTCTTCTGCTTTTTGCAAAGTCTGCTGATGTTTTCCTGGAATACAAGATGTCAAATACAACTGCACTTAGAACCTTTTTGTTTTATTTGGTTATTTTTGATGAATGCCATCACTTTGGAATATTTGAGAAAGGCGGAGTTGTTATACTTTAATTGATTAATCACGTGAACCTAAAGAATTGATCAGGAGCCTTAAAAAGTGTAACAGGTTCAGGACCCATTACAGTGCTGCAAACGGTGTCTTTTAGGATGAGCCATGTACCCTAAATAGTGCCTGATGCATTTTAATGTTAAAGTAGAATCATCATAGAATCATAGAATGCTTTGGGATGAAAGGGACCTTTAAAGGCCATCTAGCCCACCCCCCCTGCAATGGGCAGGGACCCCTTCCACTAGACCAGGTTGCTCAGAGCCCCATCCAGCCTGGCCTTGAATGTTTCCAAGGATGGGGCATCTACCACCTCTCTGGGCAACCTGTTCCGGTGTTTCACCACCCGCATCATGAAACATTTTTTCCTTATGTTCAGTGTAAATCTATCCTTTAGTTTAAAACCATGACCCCTTGTCCTGTCGCAGCAAGCCTTGCTAAAAAGACTACCCCCATCTTTCTTGTAGGCCTGCTTTAAGTATTGAAAGGCCGCAATAAGGTCTCCCCGCAGCCTTCTCTTCTCCAGGCTGAACAACCCCAGCTCTTTCAGCCTGTCCTCATAGGAGAGGTGTTCCATCCCTCTGATCAAAGTAACATGGAAAATGTTCACAGAGGGGAAAATTGAAAGCTTACTCCAGTGGCCTTTCCTACAAGTCACAAGACCCGCGTGCTTGTTACGTCAATGGGACTCTTAAGGCTTTTTTCCCCAACTCACGGCAGGGATAGTAAAAAGGAGAAACTTTGCACTTAGTGTCCTGCTTAGCAGATGCACTAGGCAGTATTTAGCGTGGCTGCCAATCCTTGCTGCATGGTTGCTTCTTGATACGCTGTCATGGCAAAGCAAAATGCCTCTGTGTTTCTTAAAACGAAGAATTTTGTGCACCATTGGGTGGTGCAGGCAAGTACCACTAAGATAATGACAGAATATCTTCCCTGATAGATGCGTACAAGAGAGTTTTTTTCCTCTGTCGCCACAGGTAAGGCTCTGTAGTTAGTTGTGTGGTAATTAAGCCTGCTCTGCAACCAGGAGTCCTCAAAATGAGCGGGAAGAGAAAAGAAAAAGCTTCCTTCCCCCTTGTTCGGTGCCGACAGGGCTTGGGTTGTCGGCGTTTGCCCAGGAATACAACAGCGAGAGCTGGAGCGAAGGCTTGTTGTCTTGCATTCTGTCTTGACTTGTTAATGAGCACCCATAATTTAGCTTCAAAATTAATGAAGAGGTTTAGTCCCCGACTGCATTATTAGCTATTTTTGTCAGTTGCTCTGCACGTCTCTCTGTGTGCATACACTAGCACATGTGTACACACACGCATGCCCTGTTACGTAGTTTTTCAGTTTATCAAATGGCAAAAATGGATTAAATGATTTACCCCAATCTTAATGTTTCAGTAAATATTGGAGTTGAGAGTAGAAAGCAGGTACCCGAGGTGAGGGAAGAAAGAACAACTCTTACAAGTGTCTGTGTATTAATTTCACGTATTTAGTAAGCACTCAAATAGCTAATTTTTTTTATTGTATCCCAGCACTGCACTGACTGCAGGTGAAGAGAAGACCTGAATTACTAGTCTTTCTAATACTAACGGTGAGACTGCCTCCTGTTTCAATATGTTTATATCATGAATAAACAAGGCAGGGGAGCGGGGGGGGGGGGGGGGAGGAGAGGAGAAGTAGGGGGGCCCACGAGACCAGGGGGGGAAGTGAAGCAGAAGATTAGTGGCCCACCCGACTTCATAAGGCATGGCAGGAGATGCAGGGCCCGCTGCCCCAGGCCAGTGCTCTCTTCTCTCAGAAGTGTTCTGCGAGGATTAAGAGAGGTTCGTTGCACTTGGATTAGTTGCAGATAAAATGGATATTCTCTGCAGTAAAATGTATAATATCAATAAACAGCTAAAATAATTGGTCTCCTTTGAAGCCAAGAAACATGGTATTAAAGAATAGGAGATATTTTAGTAAAGAGACTAAAACTGATTCTAAAATCAGCATTTTGATCTGCAGGCAAATACCATTCAACTCAGCACTTTGTTTATCTGTTCAGGCAAAATGTCAGCCTCTGGGCTGATAAATAGAATTTACAACACTTGTAGAAACTTGCAATGCAGATTTTTAATCTGCATCTTTTCCCATTAGTTTTTCCATTGTTGATGTTAAACTGTTAGGATGCTTCAAAATCCTTAACTGACATATGGAAGGAAATTTTGATACTTGTAAACTACCTTTTTATATACACAAAAGCTCAGATTAAGCCTGTACAGTTCTTAAAATCTGGACTACTTTATTTACAGTACCAAACTTTTAAACTGCTGCATAAACTCTGAAATAGTTGCTTTGTATTTACAGGTATAGTCTGCCACCAACCGTGGTTAAATCCATGTTAGTGGAGCTAACTCTGTAAAACACCATAGAAGAACTTAGGTCAGTAAGTTTGTAACAGCTATGCTTAGAGGAGTGGAGAATTAAGCTATATTTTCCTTGACATATTTTTAGAGATTACTTATGTGCTTGCCTAGTACGCTGGGATAATGTTGAAACAGGATGGGTCCACTGATCATATTATCTTGACCTAATTCATGCAAAGGAGACAAGAGCACTCTGCATCCTCTTGACATGGTTGTGATTGCTTGTTCTTCCTTCTAACGGGTGCAGTCAAATTCTTATATCTAGGGTAAACAGAAAAATAATGATATTCATATGTTTTAATGTATGTTAAAATGGAAAAAAAAAAAAGAAAAATATCATAAAACAAGAAGAGTATTTACAATACAAACCAGCAGTGAGTGGAGCAGTCTGAGTGTGAATAGGTAACTATCTTGGTTCCCTTACAATCAGGATGCACACAGAGAAAGATGCAGCAGCTCAGGAATTGCGGGGTGGTTGTGCGATTGTCATAATAATTCTCAATTGCATTATATTTAGTTTTGCTTCTCACAGTTATGTCCTAGCAGCTTCTATCTGCTTTTACTTTTAGTCTGTTACACGTGTTCAGTCATTTCCCTCAAGATGACTGTCTTCTCTCTGAAACACTTGGCTAGCTAAATTTTGTGCTTTGAGTCTCTTAGTTATATTGGGATTTTTTACATGATTCTTAACTAACCTCATAATTCAGGAGTGATGCTGTTCTTACAATGACTCGTGTGATGATGTTTCTGCAGAGAATGCATGTTTTTATCTGAGAGTTATACTGAAAAAAGGACTGGTGGGGATGAGTGTTGGACCTCCTACTTTCAGTTTTGCATGCAGTCTTGCTGTGTCTGTCCAACAAGTGCTATCAGCAGAAATAGCTTTATCTTTGGGTCAGATCTGGTCTCTGGCACCAGTCTGTCTTCCTGATTTGGCAGGGACTTCCCTGCGGGTTCCCCCCGCTTGCGGGTGATGACATTTCTGGGATACTGGCTCTTCTGAATTTCTGACCCTGATTAGAAAGTCTACATCAAACCACAGGAACTATTTTACTTGAAGCTGCTGTGTTTATACATACAAAGTTTGTTTCCTTGAGTTTAAATTTTGCACATAAATTAATTTATAAGAAATTTCAAACTCCTCCTGATAGCCTGGGTGTTGACTGGGCAGCTATTGCTGACAGATTCTGTTACAACAGCTCGAAGAAATTATGAAGAAAAATTGCCCTTCTGAAGATCATTACCTCCTACATCTACGTTTCAAGAGGTTTCTAGTACATATTTTGTCTGGGGATCCCAATCTGTCTACTATTTATGTTGGATGGAAATTGGAGCACAGGGTCTGGTAGAATCTGCCCTTGCCATGCAGTCCTCCTCTGGAAAGTGGAACTGGGCTGTGTTGTGGGATCCATACAAGCAAAGGTCTAGTTTTTGTATCCGAGACAAGACTGGGAGTCGAGATGTAGCTTTGGGTCTAATTTATTTCAGAAAGCTCCTATATCATAGAGCTTGATTCTTACTATTTGATACCAGAAGGATGCTGTCACCTGTCTTGCAGAATGCTTAAATGAGGTCACTAGGAGTTTGCTTTATTTCCAATCAGAAAAAAAATACTGAAGCCCTAAACCTTTTCAGTTGAAATTTGGATGCCAGTTCGGTAGTGCCAGGTAGAGCCAGGGGATGGATGGAAATAATTGGCTTCAGTTTGTTTTAAAAACACAGCTTAATAAGATGGGGCACTAACAGAAGCATCAGCATCATGTAGCCAGCGAGAAAGGGAGATCCAGGTTGTGCTTAATAGCACTCCATGACATCTTGGCCATCAAACTAGGGGTAATTTTTGATAAGCTACATATGACCTGGTAGTTGTTCGCTCCTGCATGCAGTCTTTTTGTTTGGATCCCAATTTTTCTTGCTTCCGAGTGTAGTTGATGCTATTGAGAATGTGTTTATTTTCCACTGAGTTTCCAAACACAATTTATGCTCCTCTGCAATCAAGTGCTTTTGTGGAATCGGAGGCAGGTCTGATACGCTGTTTTTTTTCAAGTTTGTTCCATGTGTTAGCAGAAAGATTTCAGGACCACAGCTCGGCTATGAAGTCTTTTTACATCAGTGAAAGGCTTCTTTTCTTTTGAGAATTGTATTGCTTGATGCAAGGATGCTTCTTCCGAAAGGCGATTGCTGCTTATCGTCCTTAATGACAGTAGTCAATTTGGCAAAGTGCAGGCACAGCGGAAGTTTAGTAGAAAGGTAGCAATTTTTTTTTTTGTGTGTATTTTAATCATGACAAAGATAACATCCTGTGAGAGTAAGTGGCACAGCTATTAGTATAATTTTGCTAGAATTACATTTAAAATACAGAGATTTCTGGAGCAGTAGATAATGATGAAGCAGGGACTCTGTGCAGAGCTTTCAGGATCCCCTGATAAAGTGAGCTGTTTAATCAAGCTTGTGTTTTAATATGGCTGAATGTAAAGGCATGCATTAAGGAGGGAGAGAAACAGACCCTTGCTATGAAACAGAGAATTGGTATCCAGCAAAGAAATCCATTTTAAAAAGGATGCTTGAACAATAAGGAGGGTGTTTAGACAAGACACAAAAACAATTCCAGGACCAAAGAAAAATAGTGTAAGACTTGGAGTTCAGTGCTTTGCTTACTGAAACCAAAGGTAAAGGTTGCTTATTGTATGTTAACTTCATAGAAGGAAAAATGCAAGATCCTGCACTTTGTTTTGTCATGAAAGGCAGAGCAAGAATTTGTTTGAAGACTGTATTTGCTTTAAATTGGAGGGAGAAGCACAATTTAACAGTGAATTGTTGAAACAGCTGTTGAAATCGGGGATTTTTTAATTTCCTGATGTGTGTGCATCAAGACAGGATTATTTATTTTTTTTAGCTACATATGCTTTAGTCAAAATAATAGCAGAGTAGTTAAGTGAATTAAAATGCTCTCAGTTCAGTGTCAGAAGGGATCGTTCTTGCTTCCAGCCTGGTCTTTAAAAACTGTGAAAATGTGCAGCAGGCTGATGTCACTCATTTCTAATTAGAGCCTTGTTGTATTCTGCATTTGTGGGATTGATTTTGGTATCTGGAGCTGAAGGAAGGAAACCCCTCAAACGTTAATGCATCCGAGAGCGGGGTGTGTGAGCTGTACGAGGGAAATCCACTGCTGGCTGTGCCGGATGGAGGGCTGAATTAAACTTCCATTAATCTTAGCAGAAAGGTGAAAAGCGTCTGTTCTGCACATCCAACTGGAATTTCCCCAGGATGGATGCTTCGTTGG